TTAAAAAAAAAATTGAAGGATCACTGAGTGAAAAAACGATTAATTGCAATTTTGACTTGTCTACATTTTCACTTATTCTGATCTATAATTTAATTATTTTTTTAACTCAATTATACTTAGTTTATATCAAAAATATTTTTCCTCATTAAAATATCATTTTTTTTAGTGAACAAAAATGTGAGAATGTTCATTATTCCTTGACACCCCTCATTTTTTTTTTTTTTTTGTTCCCATCAGTTGACATCACTGATTAAAGAATCATTGGTTATTAATAATAGTTTTTTCGTCGTTTTTCATTTATTTTCAAATTCAGCTTCAAAATAATTTGAAATAAACATATTTTCATTAAATTCAATACTGAGACAAATTTAAAATAAGTGCCGATAACAATCATCCGGATTTCAAAATCAAACGTTGCTTATCCTACATTAGATAATATGCCACAAAAAATTTGAATATTAATTCCTTGCAATATTAATTGTAAGTCCAATACAATTTCTGAATGTGTTTAAATTTTTGAGTATCATTGGTTGAACTTGATATTATTAATTTGTCTATGTGACTATAATGTCGAACTTTTGAACTACTAAGTATTTTCTTTCTGATTTCTTCTTTATAATGGTAATTTCTTCCATCACTGATCTATGGAATACGACCAACTACTTAATTTTAATTGTATGGACTTTTATTTAGTTTCTACTAACTTTAAAATCATAACTTTTATATTTCTTTTGCTTATTCGTTTAACTAAATTTTTTGTATAGCAAGATGATGAAAAATATTCACAGGAAAAGCATTTACTTAAAAAGTAAGGATAACTAAGAAAATATTAAATTGGTAAAGTAGAAGTCAGGAGAAAACTCACATAAGAGGGCAAGTGGTAGAAGCCAAGAGATCTGCATTGTGACTGGACTGTTTGACCTTGGTCCTCCAGTTTTATTGTGGTCCTCCCCCACTACTCCTCAGGAAACACAAGATTTGTTCTTAATTTGTCTTCCCTTTTCTTCGAGCTGATTTCAATGACATAAGGCTCCATTGATTTCCAGTATTGTAGTCTGATAAATATTGTAGTAATGATGAGGAATAAATATTAATGAAAAAAAAAAAAAGGAGTCCATTATTTTTTTGAACATAGAGGATTATTTAGCTATTGATATATTTGTGAAGTATAATTTTTCCTAATTTAACATGACAATTATTTTTCATGCATTGAATTATCTCTTTGTTTCAAACATGGGACAATAATCGATAATTATCTTAACTCTTCTGAAATCAATCCATTTGCATTTATTCCTTTAAGCACTGGTGACATTTAAAATATTTATTGCAGATTATTAATTATATTTATAATCTCTTAACCATATTATTTTGAAAGTGCTTACTAATGAATATTCAAGTTTATTGCATTTATTTTCGCTGCAAATGTTTTATAAATACAAAATATTGTTATTTAGTTAATTTAGCTTCTTCAAACTAGAACTTTCTGAATATACAATTATTTTGCAGATACATGATGAGATTTATGTATTTTTAGACTATTAAATGGGTTCATATCAATTTGAAAAATTTCTCTAATATAGACCGATTATTTAGTTAACAGCTAAAATCAATCAAATAAGCCAATATAGGATAGGATTATTATAGTTGTTAATATGTGTTTTGATACTTTAGAAGTTATTCATTTCTGTCTAGTGTTGCTTTGATACTTCTGATTTTTTTTTTTTCTTACTTGCTTATTATTGGTAGTTGTTCATTTTCTTGAAACTTGTTTTTCAGTTTGCTGTAGTTTCAGTAATTCAATTTGAGACAGTTACCTTATTTGATCTGTTTAGCTTTTGGCTTTGTCAATAAATTATTGCAGATCTTTAATTCCCACATCCATTTAAACTTTTTTTATTCAAATTTTATGAAACAAAAATAATTAAATTATATGACTAGAAAGAAGAGGTCAAGGAGGCACTAAAAATAAAAAATATAATGTGAAACTTTACCTGGAAATAATACTATTGAAAAACATTTAATAAAAATATTCATAATTCTTATCGTATAAGGACTGAAATGGATGTTTTCAAAGTAAGGTAATTTTTTTCAAATTAAAAAAAAAAGTAATGTAAATGAAGGCAATAAAATAATGGTGAATTTTTAAAAAATCTAGCTGAACAGGGAAAAAAACAACGTATCTTTGTATCATATGGGTCTGTAATTATATATTCTATGGACTGATTGTTAAAATAAAACCTCTTTAATATTGTTTAACAATGGTAAGAATCAGGATTTGAAATCGTTAATTAAAAAATATCAAAATAAAAATAAAGTATGTTAAAAGTTTTTATCTATAATTTTAAAAAATCACTTATGATTTTTATTAGGAGCAATTTTTATTTTTGATATTAAGTGATAAAAACCATATCCTGTTCATTATTTTTGAACAAAATTTTTACAATTAATAATTATAATAAGCCTTTTTAAATCAGAAATATAATTTTTTGTAATATCTATGATATATTTTAAGTATGGAGTAGAAGGTGGAGAATATTGTCAACTATTAGCAACAGAACATCTTTATTTTCAAAACTCATTAGAAATTTTGGCTTCCAAAAAAAAAAAAGAAGAAATATATACATTTATCATGTGTAGAAACCGCGTGCACAATAAAAGCGATTTCAGAAATATAATATTAAAAAATGTGCACATTAATAACATACATATTATTTATTGTTTATGTAAATCATATCACTCAGTGAGTGATCATCAGTTTTAATCGAAACAATAAACATCAAAGATTGATTTAAATTTTTATTTATAAATCAGGCATGCTTTTTAAATAAAAGAACAAATATATTAATTAGATTTATTAATAATTGATAAAAGTTATTATATTATTTTATGAAAAAATAATTATCGATTTTAAACCCTGGTAAAAATATTTTAAAATTACTAAAATTGGAATAGTTTTTTTTAATCATCGGTAGTACCAGAATCTAAATCTTCTGTTAAATTATTTTGCTTTAATTTTTTTAATCTTCTCAAAATAAGCTTGTGCTATTAAACCATACCTTCAAATGTTAAATACTGTATATATTTTTTTGTCTTTTTATGTATTAACTCATTTTTTCATTAACACATATTTTTCAACAGCTATTTAAGATTGTTTTTCTCTTGTTTTGGCTATACCCAAAAGTTATGCATTCAATTAAAAAAAAATATATTGTCATTTGTCCTCTGTGGTTTTCAATTATTGCATCTATTCTTAACTTAATACATAATTGTTGCTGTCTGAACATGTCTCCTATAATTCTTTAATTTTTTATTCCTTAATTCAGCTGATCTATTAAACCATCTATATTTATTTGCATAAAAAGAGAAAAATGTAGAAGTGACTATTTCATTATCAGGAAACAGCTCATCACAAAGAATTTTTTTTAATCCACCATACCAATAATATCAGTTCAAAGTGAACTTCCTCACAGAATAGTACTTTCTTAATTGGATTTCTGTTCATAATCCTATTTACACCTTTGACAACTTGAGAATATTGTATTTCTATAAAACTGGCATATATTTTCTATTATATTATACTCATTATAAATAGTACAGATTTTTATTTTTGTTCCAATAATTGGTCAAAAGGAGGATGTTGCTCTAGATAATACATTTTAGAACATGAATTAGAAATTTGACGATGGAGCACATTATTATCATTATTAAATTTAAGCCTTGCATCCACAAGAGTATTGGGATTGCAGTTCTGAAGATGAGAATAAATGTCCCGAAACGTCAACTAACTTGTTAACATGTAACGTTGATAGTAAAATATACACAATTGTTAACAACTGGAAGTTATTATTGCCAAACAACTAAAATAAATAGACAACTTCCCAGAAAAAAAGAAAAAAGCAGCATCTTTATATTTAAGAGTCAATATATATTTAACATAAGTAAAAACAATAAAATTATTCATTTATGTTCTATTTTGTTTTAATTAGATTACATAATTAACATTAATCATTTCAGAAAAAAAACTTTTACTACTTCAACAAAGATCATATTAACTTGTATACACAATGATAATTTATTAATAATTTGATAAAATATTAAATAATATTGATACATCATGATTTCACATATTTGTATTTATTGTTTGATTGGATAAGCTAAATAGTTCTTGAAACACTTGGAGGTTACATTGAATAATGGTCGGAAACAGTGATGAACAAAATACAAAAAATGATTTGTTAAATTATGGCTGTTTGTAGTTAATGTTTATATTAACATTTTATCGTAACATGATTTTTAACTATACTTTTGAACAATATTTTATCATAAATGTTTCTTTATTGTAAACTTATTGATTTTATGGGGTTTTAGTTTTAGCCTGACAAAATGAATGGAAAATATTGCTCATCACTGATATAAGATGCCGATGAAAAAGAATATTTTTAACTAATTAATTTTAAAATTAATAACCAATTTATTAAACAGATTTCTTCTCTAAATCATATGAATAAGTTTTGATAGTAAATAATAAAGTATAATTTAAATAGTAATAATAAAAAATAAAATGTTCTAAAAGTGAACTTATCAGCTTTGTTCCTAATTATAAATTTTTAAATTATTAAATTCAATAAGTATCAAAAATTATTTTAAATAGGAACTTTAGTCTTACAATTCAAATAACATTAATCATGATCAAATCATTGTTCATATGGTATAAAAATAATTTTTTCAGAACATTTACTAATATCACTGTGGTATTGTAATATGAATTAAATAATTTTTCATGACTATTTCCTTTTTAGATGCATGAAGAATTATTCAGAATATTTTTTGATAAATTTTCTATATTAATAAATATATTAATAAGAGTTAGAAGAAATAGAATTTTATTATTATTTCTATGTGATAATGAGTTTTTAATATAGATCTCTAAGTCATAATAAACTATATAATATAAAAAAAATATGTATCACAAATACTAAGTAGTTAATAAAAATAATTTTAAAAGTCATAAGTTCAATTTTTTTTCAACAAGACTAGGATTTCTTAGCTATGAACAAACATCAAAATAATTTTGCTATTGATAGGTACAATTCTAGTTATAATATAAATATTTCTTAATTTGTTTATAAAAAACAATTTATTAATATCAAAATCTTTTAAATTATCACAACAATAAAATAAAATAGGAATACAATTTAACAACAAGCAAACCACACCACTTCGAGTTGTTTTTCATTTCAAATATCAGTTAACAATTACTAATCAACTCTCCTACTGTAACCAAAATTGTTCCTTTCAAATAATGGGTTTGTATGACTGTGAACACCACTCCTCTCAGTTTTAATTTTGTTTAAAGAAGGTACTGTAATGGTTTCTCTAAGATTATTATTTGATACATCTTTTTTTTTCAGTGCTGCCTCCTATTAAACAAAAACAAAAATTATTCAATGAAACAATATTAGTAGTCAAATGTCTGGTCACATCCATTCATATTCGAAAAATAGTTTCTATAAATAATTCCAGAATAAATAAATGAATTTCTTAAAGAAATACCGTAAATGAATTAAGACAATTCGGAGGCTGGATTATATGCAAATGAGAGGGAAGTATCGTGAACAGGCGGCATCAAGGGAAATCTACAAATGCTGAAGACATGGACCAAACTGAGGATCTTAATCCTTCTTCTTCTTCTTTAGCTTCCCTCTTTAGAGCCTCTCAGCGTAGAGGAACACTCAGCCAGAAATTCCATTCTTCCCTATTTCTTGCTAGATTCCTCACCTATCGGAGGTCCTTTTCCCTCACCCTACAGAGTCGCCCAATGTGGTCGAGATAGGACATCCTAGGGTGGCCCCTAGGTCTTCTGCCATCTGGAACATATTCCATGGTCTTTTGAGGATCTCTGTGGTCGTCTATTCTGATAAGATGGCTGACCCACTTTAGCTGACGAGTTTCTAGCTCTTTCAGTGGAACTATCTGCAGTTCCTGGCAGTTCCCAATCCTTTCATTGGGAACTTGGTCTCTCCTTGTTTTTCCAATCTTCCTTCACGAAAATTTCATTTCGGCAGCGGTGATTCTACTCTCCTGTTGGTCTGTTAATATCCAACTCTCCGCTCCATACAAAAGTATGGGTAGATATACTGTCTTGAAGATGTGTAGCTTGACATCTTTGTCTACTTCATTCTTCCCTACCACAGTGTTACATATCTGGTAGTAAACTGCATTTGCCTTGTTAATCCTGTTAGATATTTTTATGTCTACCTTCCCAGATCCGTCTATCACTGTACCCAGGTATGTGAAGTCTGTCACCACTTATAATTCTTCTCCATTACAACATATGTGAATATCTTCCTTCTTTTTTCCAGCTTGTAGGATCTTATCTTGCATGGTATTTATAAGCATCCCTTTTTGTCGGAGCTCTTCATAACGTTCCATAACCGCCAATTGCAACTTTTCCACTGAGTCAGTAATCAATACCAGATCGTCAGAGTAGAGGAGAAGCTGTATTACTACAGGATTAAGATTTCTATGTCCTGTCCGTTCTTCTCTTACAAATGGATGCCACTTCATCCATGAACAACAAAGGGCTTAGGCTGTCTCCTTGTTTGAGCCCCTTTTGCAATATTGAAATATTTTGATTCTAGCCCATTCAGCCTGACTATTCCTTTGGGCTCTTGATGTATAGATTTAATGGCCTCTGTCAGGTTTCTCGGAACATTCTTTATTCTGAGAGCTTCCTATATTTTATCTCGTGGAACCGAGTCAAAGGCAGATTTGAGGTCAAGGAAAGCCAGGTACATATAATTATTAAGGTCCCAGTATTTCTGTAAGATATTTCTTAATGAGAAAATGTGGTCATGAGTTTGACGCCCGGGTCTGAACCCAGCTTCCTCTTCTCCTATAAGGTGCTCAGCTAGTGGCCTTAAGGGACCCACCAATATCGATGTATAAAGCTTGTACACAACTGACGAGAGGCATACTGGTCTGTAGTTAGAGCATTCTGCTTGATATCCTTTGTTGTTAATTGGTTTTATAATATTATATTCCCAATCCATTGGAATTCTTTTTTATGTCTACTTGATCCACAAGTGGTTATTATTCTTGATGTGAATGTAGCTCCAGGCATAAAGAAAGGAAGATTTCAGAGATGCACTCTACCTGTATAGCTAAGTAGTCTTCAGGGGTGTTTAAAGATGAGAAAGAACATCTAACAGGCAAGTTATTACAACTAATCCAGAAAATATGGGGGAAGAAAGGATACAAGAAGCTAGGACTTTATTGAGACAAAGCGCTCCTTCCAGTTGCAATATTCATACTATTAAATGCTGCGATAAAACAAAAACACATTTCTAATCTTGTTTCTGAAAAGATTTGGTAGATCTTAAGTAAACATTAAAATAAGAAAGATAAATTGCGTTGTGTTTTTTGTTGGGATGAAATTATTTTTTTTAATATTGTTCATTGATCAGTGTATTTATTTGTGATTTTAAATAGACAACTGATCTTTATGATGATGAAATGCATAGAGCTGACTGTATATCTTCCTTCTGGCAATTTGTTTACATTATATTTCAAGTAATTGAAAATCATCTTGAACAAATAGCGTTCTTATTGAAAGTATTGAAAAAATCCTACCGTACCAATTACTAATTATGAGCCTTCTTCATTTAGAAGGTTTTATTTACTTTTTTTCCTTCAAATATTCATCTTCACCTTTTTTTATTTGTCCTCTCCTTCCTTGCCTCTAAGGCTATATGGAGTTTTCCCGGGCCAGAGGATGTGGGCAGTGATTTAAAAGACTCCCCTGGCACCTGGAGGCGAACTTGTGACTATTTTTTATCATTGGTCTCACATATCAGGTTGCCAGGCAACGGCAGTGCTGTGCACACACGTTAGCCTGTTCAGCCTTCTTGCCCAGTATTCATCTTCACCTGTTGACAATCAGCAGATGATCTTATGAATATGATGGAAATGAAATGTCAGGCATGGGGAAGGATAGAACCCAGCAGTACCTCTTCCCTGTTTTGATTTAATTACCATGGTTTGTTTAGAAAGGAGGTTTCTCATCCATTGCCTCTTTAGTCTCCACCTCGTATTGATGGGCATGTCAGCTAAAGCCATATCTCATATTGGTCTATTAGTGTGTCCACGTAAGTTAGTATAAAATGCCTTTATATTATAAAGAGTGGTTATATATTGGTCAACTTACCTATTGGCAGGCGGAAGTCAGTATGTAGAGTTTTGTTTGTCACATATCAATTTGCTTTAGTTATAAGTCATAATATTTTTGGTTGAAACATTTGAAGTTTTTTATGAGGGTCATTTTAGCTATAACGAACATATGTGGGAAATATATCCATATAGGTTTAAGTTAGTATATGTATACATTTAGTTTCTGTCTCAGTTCTAGTTTTGAAGTTTTGGAGAAAAGTGGGTATAGTAGTTTGAGTCATCTATTAAGGTACTTCTGTTTCACTTGCACATGTGCTCCATGTCATTCTTCTGTGATGTCATCAAAGATAGTGTATGATCTCCATCTGAGGAATTTGGTTGTTTTAGATACATATCGGAGGGCTGGTGTTTCTTCGAACAGAAAATGTAATGTGTTTCGATTTATGGTGGATTAATTGAATTTTACATAATTTGTACCAGTCATTTAATTTATCTAAGTGATGTTGTAATGTTAGTGAGGCTTGTATAGGATCTTGATGTTTTGTGAGAATTGCTATGCCCTCAGCTTGAGTAGCAATCAATGTCTGATTCTTAATAGGTGTGTTGTAAATGTATATAATATGTAATAGGAGTACTGGGGAACCAGTACTGAACCTTGGAGTATTTCGATTATATTTTCACAAAATTAACCCAGTCTTGATCTTTAACCGTCTAGCCCAGGTGTCTCTAAACTCCCTCCCATCATCCAGCCTGCAAAAGTTTCTTTGATTAAATAGTAAAATTCTAAAACTAGTTAAAAAAATACGAAATTAAGTAAACCAATCAAATAGAAGGTTTCTACACCATTTATTGCATCAATTATTTCTCTTAGAAAGTTCATCAACAGCTGAAGATTCATTTATTTATCACAAGCCATGCTCCGGGAGACTTAGTAGAGGTCTCAATACAGCCAACATGACTTATTGGAGGCCTCAATGCGACCCGCGAAACTTAGTAGAGTTTTCAATGTGTTCTCAAAAAGTTTGGTGACTCAGGACCTAATATTTTTTAAATCAGTGGATTGGGAATGGTGGACAAAGTTCATTTTACTTACCATGATTAAATACTTTAGTAATTCGCATTCAGACCTTTTCTTGCTAAGAGTGTCTTTTTTAGGCCCTGCTTCTAGAATTTGAACTATCTTTTTAGAATTTGAACTTAGAGAATTTTAAATAAATATCATAGAACAATATGAAATTGGTAGGATTTGAAAAAATAAAAAATATTACTGGATGAAACAAAAATATTTTTATGTTTCGAATTTTAAAGATTAATTATAAGAAGTTCCTCAGTTACTATTACAGGGAATAAATAAAAAAGATTAGTGTTTTTATGCTGAAGTATTTGTAACACCAATGTTTGACTTTCAATGTATTTGAACATCAATATATTAATATTATTGTCATCAAAAGCGATTGTTCTGAAGACAGTGTAGATTTCAATGAAGTCTTTAGGCCAAAACGTTAAGAAACTGCTGGTGTAAGGAATGCTTATAAAAAATTTGTTAAATTTTTCTTCTTTTTTTTTTAACAAATCACATTAAATTTATAATTAAAAGAAGAAAAAAATATATCAAAGTTTTATTTTTTATTATAAAAAAATTTCATATCTAATTATTAGTCCATTGTAATACTTACAATACACATACGGGACATATAAAATCAATAGAAATATCATTTTTTTCATACATTCTTTTTTTTTTTTGTTTAAAAAAAAGTGAGATACATTAAATGTAATAGAGGTTGACTTAAAAAATCCTAGTTACAATTTTTTAAATTAAGACACTTAGAATGAACAGCAACAATGAAATCACCAAAATTAGGAACTGACTAGTAGCAATAAAATTAATACTAAAAGTTTTAAATGACACTGGCAGTTATTTTTTTTTTTCCATATTAATTTTTTTTCAGATTTTTATTATTCTTCATTCATTGTATGATCACATGCAAATTCTTCTTTTTCATTTTGATTTCTTCCTGCTCCCATATCAATTTTACTAATTGACAAAATCCATTCTACAATCAATAATTTCTGACCTGAAACATTGGAAGAAATCCTCGCATGACCACAAATAAAGTTTTCATCAGTAATTACAGAAACAATCAGAATTAACAATAATTGGACGACAATAAAATTGGTTGTACTCAATATATACATATATATATATATTTTTTTAAGAAACAGTTCATGTACTTCTCTCAAATCATAATGGCAAATTTGATGGAAATTATTTAACTGACACATTGAAAAAAAAAGAAATTAAAATTTATAAATAAATATTAACGGACTTATCTATTAATAAATGTTAATAAAAATTGATAACAGGCTCTTTAAAACATCACACTTAGTTCAAAATATCATTAATTTTTCCACAATCTTTATATGAACAAATATTAGATTTGCTTCTTTTAAATATTTCTTACTGCACTACTTTGGCTAATAAAAAATAGCATCAAGATATTAAGAATTTTAGAGTTTTGTTTCATTGCTAAGAGTTCTGTGATTTATAAAATCAATCTATGAAACAACATAAAATTATCTATTTTTTAGAGAATTTATATGATTTAAACAATAGCCTAGTTTAATTATATGATATATACTTTGATATGATTCATCAAAAAAAATAATAAGGTCTGTTGTTACAGGAATCCATTAAATATTAATAGAAGGTTTTAAGGTAATTGCGATCAATTGTAACCCACAAACAAGAAAAAAAACGTAAAGGAATGAATTTGTTTTCTACAGTTGCTTTATGATTTCGTCTGATCTAAATTCACTTCTTTTTTTTAACAGGCTGAAATCACTTAAACATCATTCCATATTGGTATTTTATTTATTTTTCTTCCAGTGTAATTACTGTTAAAAAAAAAGAAAAAAAATTCTTCCTCTCACTTCAAAATTAAATCCTGGATCTGGTACAGCAGGGTTTGATTATTTTTCTTGAGGGAGTCTTTCTTGTCTAATTGGGATCTATCAACCTGTTCTTTGAGAAAAAAAATAACTGATAAGTGATTCGATCAGTCAGTTGAGAATTTTGTTGAGTTATTACCAGTTCATTTATTCTATTTCATGAGCAGTTTTATTAAATAGAGAATTAAGTTCTCTAAAACAATTTTTTAAATTAATTATTGACATTTATTGGGATGGCAAATAAGTCGTTTCGGTTTTTCTGTTTATTTTTATGTCACTATGATACACTTCTTATCTGATGAAGTAATCCCTAAGGCGGATTGTTTATCCTGTTTGTAATATGTCAACAACTATATGAAATGAAAAAAATAATTTTATTCTGGAAGTACAGTCCCCTAAGAATAATAACAGAGTTACAAATTTATGGGTCTTAGTCTGACATAATAATAAAAATACAAATTAATTAACAGTTAATTGTTATTTAAATTGTGCAATAGATTTAAATTAAACAGTGTACAGATGCAAGTAATTTTACATTTTAGGGGAAGTTTGAATGTAGAGTAGGTGGTGGAACAGGAGTTGTTTGAAGGAATTTGTGGACGAGGATTGACGCATGGAGGTAGGAAGTGAGTTCCAAAAGGAAGCAGCACGAACGACGAAGAATTACAAGAGAATCGAAGTGGGAGAATACAAGGGAGGTTACAAGGAGCTGTCTGTTTTTTAGAGGAATACAATCACGGAATCTTAGGCATTGTTTAAGGGCAGTTATGGATTTTCGGGTAATCTGGGAGAAATGGTTATTCCAGGAGAGGTTCTGGTCAAAGGTTATTCCTAGGTTTTTGACTGTAGGGAAAAATGGAGGGGACAGTTATTGAGGTTAAGTAGAGGGGAATAAGGAAGGGAGCTAATGAGATGTCTGGACCCGATGAGAATAGCCTTGGTTTTATCTGCATTCAGCTTTAATTCATTTATTTCTGCCCATCTGTTGATGCAGTCGAATATCCTCTTGTTGGAAGGTTGGAATGATTGGTATATTTAGAAATCATCGGCATACAAGTGGTAACTGGAGTGTTGAATGGCGTCAGGAAGGTCACTAATATAGGTAGAGAAAAGGGTCGGGGAGAGTGAGAAACCCTGAGGAACACATCGTGTTAATTTTATCTGTTAGTTATATATCGTGTTATAGTTATATCTGTTAACTCTTGTTGAAACTAGCTTAGTATTGTGTTTGCTATTACACTGTGAATATGGAAGAAAACATCATTATCGGCACATTTTGTTGTATTATTTTAAAAAAGGTAAGCGTGCTGCAGAAGCTCATAAAAAAATGTGCAGTGTTTATAAGGATGATGCCTTAATCGAACGCACTTGTCAAAATTGATTTGCCAAATTTCATTCAGGAAATTTTGACATCAATGATGCTCAACGGTCTGGTTACCCACATTAAATTGTACATTTACTGTAGTTTATTGACTTTAAATCCAATATTATTTTAAATAATTATGTACTTATCATCTGTTTTATTCAGAAAAATCATTATGTTACATAATAGAAAATTAAATTAGTGAATAAGTTGATGAATTTCCATTAGTTATCCATTAACAATTAGTGTGACAACTTTTGACTTATCGATAATAAAAGTTATGGTCAGAGTTTTGGAACAGAAAATGTTATATAAAACCAATCAGAAATAAAAGATTGAAGAATATGATAATAGGTAAGAGAGAGCATTATCTTAAGTTAAGAGAAGACCCTGATGCCAGACTCTATCAAGCATTTGAGCAACATCTAGAAATACTCTAGTTGCAAACAACAAATGCTGTTACATTGTCATTGGTAAATGAATTTGGTGTAGTTGATGAATGGTTGAATGCTGTGTTCTGAATCAAAATTGATGGTCAGGCATTATGAGTTCATTCATCATAAGCCAAGAAGTCTTTTGTAGAGAAATTTCTTTAAAATTTTATAACATATTGGGAGTAGGCTGATGAGTCTGTATGGTGATGGGATGTTGGTGTACATAATTGGTGATTTATGGTATAGTATGATTAATTTCATTGTCAGTGCAATTTGATTATTCTGAGCATCACATTATCAATTGATGCTAGGTACACTGGAACTTTTCCTAGCATTTTGTGGAGCGCTTTATTAGATCATGACCAGAAGATTTTTTTAATGTTAATTGTTTGATTTTTTCTATAACTTGTGTAGGAGTAAAGCAAGGTGGAGATTTTTCCACAATTATAGTGGAATTTCTAAAGTTTTGAGTATATGTCTTTCATGCTCATTATGGTTAATGTCAGTATGTGGTGTAAAAGCAGAAGAAACATGGTTGGCAAAGAGCTTAGATGTTTCAATTTCTGACGTGGTCCAGAACCATCTTTGTTTTGGAGCAATGTTGACATTTCGCAATGCTTTACAAGCTTCATAGTTTGTCGCCATAAGCTACTATCATCAATTAAAAAACTTATGAATTATTTGTTGTTTTAAACCTTGAATCTGTTGTTTAAATTTCTTGTTAAGTTTACAGAAAGTCCGTCTATTTCTGTATTATAATGTCATTTATTAACTGAATGATGTACTAACCAAATTATTCCCATTGACCAACTAGTATTGTATAAAATAATAAATAAATAAAAACCTATTTGACTGTGTATTGGGTTGGATTGTTAAGAAGAAGAACAAAATTATATTGAATAATATAAATTAAGAAATGAAATATTAATTTTTGTAAAAGATACCTGAGATAGAGAACCCACTGGATTGGTAACTTGCCCTTGAAAGAGGAATCCAGCTTGACTATCCCTTATAAAAAAGAAGAATGGATGGTTAGCGACAAAGTGGGGAACACTGCCTGTGCTTAGCAATTGGAACTGAGCAACTGAAAATTAATAAAATATAATTAACACTCTAAACAGCAATACATTTTAAACATTTTCTTGTTTTATTTGTAATCATTAAAATTAACTTCGTTTTAAAAATTCAAACAATTAATAACTCCAGTCATTTTCCTGATAAATTAAACCAGTTTAAAAATAAGGAACATAAGAAACAAATGCTGTTTTGATACCTGTTGCTGCAGATGCTACTGTTCCTTTTTCGGTTACTTCAATTTTGGCTTTATGAAGGAATGATGATATTTTAGCTCTGGTCCCAGATCCAAAAAGTTCTGAGAAGTCTGCAGAATCACTAAAAATTTTTTCCAGAGAATACTAAAACATAAACAAAATGATTATCAATAATTAAAATAAATGGGAAATTTAAAAAAAAATATTGTAGGCATTATAGGCGTTTTTTAGGCATTTTATTCACAGCATCTAAATTTAAAATATTTCTTATAATGCTACCATAGTATTTTAATTTGTTATATAGTATGCTATGAATTTGAAAACAAGAAAAAGTAAAAACAAGATCGTTTTTATGTTTGTTATATAGTTATGTCCAACATTATTGGAAAATTAATAGTCAATAGCTAATACAAGATATCTTGTGATACACGAATTTCCTGACTCTCTTTTATGGCAATAATACTTGCAGGATATGAGCTTATGGTAAAATTATATATAATAATAAATCATTTAAAAAAGCTATTTAATCTTTTAAAAATCAGACTATGGAAATCCCTCTATTCCAATGTTCCGGATACTGCGCATATCGCCACAACTTGCTCAACTTTTGAGACAATAAGGACCAAACTACTAAGGGAAACTGAACTCTACTGTACATCATTGTGAAGGACGATTTCCCTCAGCTAGCAAGCAAGGATAACTACCCAAAGCTTTCATGTAGAGATGGAAGTTATTAGTGGAGTATGATCATTTCAACCTCCTCTAATGAAGAAGAATGAAAAATAATAAGTGGTAACAGCATCACGCTACTGCAACCAAAATTCTTTGTTTCCAAGAGGTAATAATAATAAAGACAGGAAAAAAAGCTCATAAATTATAAATCTAAAAGAACAGAAATATGCTAAAATTGTTATATCAATAACAATGAATAAAAAAAACCTGTGTAGAAAATCAAATCCCCTGTATCATAGCTAATTCGATTTCGATAATTTTGCTTCCTCACTATTGAAGGTAGGAAAGCTTTGTATTCATGCGAGAGGTCAAAAAAAATTATGTGCTCAGAATAAAAAATTTCCACTAGCGTTTTACGTTTCAGATATAAAAGATCAAATTTGGTTAATTTATGTAGTCAAATCGAAGTAACGGACAAATCGCCTACTACTGTTTATCTGGTTCTCATGAAATTTTCAGGGATTCCGTTGGTTGCTGTCTAGATGATCCCATATTAATTTTATTAAATTCTATCCACCACTTCTCCTTACTCACGTGCAAGCGTATTTTTGTAGATATGCCAATATTTCAGAAATGGCTGGTTCAATTTAGTCCAAAGTTGGATAAAATGTAGTTATTGGTAATAAGATAACATAGTATCAAAAAGTAATGGATTGCATCCATTACTTTTTTATATATATGCAGAAATGTGTTTCCCTTGATCTGTCTATTATACCTCTAAAACCACACCTTTGATCTGGCTCAAATTTGGTGTGAACATAGGTATTACTTAACAGATAATCAAGTACATATCAATTTTATCAAATTCTATCGACAAAATTAAAAAAAATACTTCCGCTTTCAGAGCAGGAAATGTATTATTTGATACGCTTATAGTTTGAAAACGGCTTATTCGATTTGACCCAAACTTGGAGGAAATTTGGAGTATAGTATAAAAATTGCCTAGTGAATTCTATTTAATAATTAAAATTAATATAAATAACTATTAACAAGATAATGGCTGAGAAATGTGGAAAGAATTGATTAGGTTAATACATTATTTTTATGAGGTTACAAAATTTTATGTTTTATCTAAAAAGTTTATTTATACTAGATTATTTGGTCAATTCCAAACAATACTGACATGACATTGCCGTTACTTAGATTTAGTGTATTTTTCAATAAATTTAAATTAATTTTTACTCTAAGTATGAAAAAAAGTCTTATTTGTGTCTGCGTTTAAAGTTCAAGTAGCTCATCGTGGTCTCGATTTCCTCCTTAACATTGAACTTCACTCATGTTTTTATATTCCAGCTTAAATTATTTTTGTTTTCACTGAAAAAAAAATATTAGTCTCATTAACTTCGAACAAACGACAAAAAGTTGAATTTTTCCAATGGATATTTTGTTGCACCCATTTTACAAGTGAAAACATACCTATTAAGTATATATCTCTACTGTTAGTACAAAAAACGTATGTCAGAATTTTCAATTTATACTAAATATTTTGACATTTTGTAGTCTGCTACTATGGAAAGTAGCAGAGAGCAATAAAATATGAAATTATATTAATAAATCATAAATAAATAATTAGTTTTTATGCTCTCCTGTAAAATACTCAATTTTTAAATACAAACTTTTCCACTAACAGTAGCTATATGCATGTTCGGTATGTATTGAAATTTTTTTTCAATCACAAATAATCAAATACCCAATCTGCAAATGTGGAACTCTTGCGCATTTTAGTATTCACTGCTGGACAAAACTCGTAGATATCAAATCCACAAAAGTTGAGGGATCTTTTTCACATGTATTCCTGAAAATTTGTTTTTCGTACTCTTGAAGAGGGCACTTCAAGATCTGTTAATAAACGCACATCGAAAATTTGATCCTATTACAATACTTTGTTTACCTTGTGGTAGAAAAGTGAAAAGTGCATTATTAAGAATTAATCACTAGGTGATTTAATTAATAATTACCTTTTCCAATAGAGGCTTCATTTCAAGAGAGTATTCAATGTTGAATTTCGGCATTACAACTTTAACTTCAATAGGAACTAAACTTTCTAAGAAGCTAATGATTGAGTTAAATTGAGTTAAATCTTGAAGGCTCTGCTCTTCTTTTGGTAGAAGAATTATCATAGAGTAGCGCGGGTCCTAAAAATGAATTAAGCTATATTTAAAATATTAAAATTATTTTAAGGAAATTTAAAATATATGATGTATGAAAACCTCATAAGGCATTTCAAGAATCCTAGCTTTTAGACTTGCTATTTCGCCATACTTGAATGAAGCAGTTGTCGTCATCATTTTCACCACCGTACAGTCAGGGTTGTAAAAACATTGTTTTCCTGGGTTAAGTTTCAACTTAACCTTCCAATCTCCTTTAAAATACATGGCATTTGCAAGCATCAAAATTGTTCCAGGATTAATCGAATCTAGACATCATATGTAGTAAAACTTTATTAGGGAAAACTAAATGTTTGAGAAATAAAATAAATCTATTTTATTGTTTTTTCAGGCTTCAGAAATCATTTTAATTCTTAGATCCATAAAAAAATATGAAAACAATTTTAGAAATAAAGTTAAGTGTTATTATATGACAACTGATTTTTCTGCCCAAATCCTTATTGTTATTAGAAAATAAATTGTTAGAAATCTAGTATACCTGGTGTTATAATTTCTGGTATATTTCCATTGGTTAGGCCATTTATCCACTTGTTAATCTCCTTTGAAACCAATGCATTATTTGTGAAATCAGATGATGTAATGTTGGCAGAGTAGTAAAACCTTGCATTTTCTCTGAACTTGTTGTTAATTGCAAGGCCTTGCTTGGCCAGCATAACACTTCCAGATTTAACAGTGATCACATCAGGAGTATTCTAAAGTGTTATATTTCATGGAACAAAACATCATTGAGAAAATCATTAGTGATAAATAGAGTTTTTTAAGATATTGTCGCTTTATTTCAAAAAGTCAACTAAGTAACATATCATAAAATTTAATCACTAAGTACTCGGATGAATTTTCCCTCTGTGAAATCAAAACATTGTGCACTTTGATATCTAAAAAAATTGAAGAGAAGATTGGTTGAGGTGATCAGGAAAAAAAAAATAAAAAATGTAAAAATAAATAAGTTATATTTATTTTTACAATTTTTTTTTTTTGCGATTGTTAACTGCAGTCAACCATCAATCCACCAATATAAAAAGATTGATGTGATTTCGATGCACTTTCTGTGTTTTTTATCTATAAATAAAGTTCACAAAAACGTATTTAAAATTTTATGTCCATCAAAAATGTACTTAGTGACTTTTTGAAACAAACCTGACAGTCTAAAATTAAAACAGTATAAATGAATTTCTATCAAAAGAAATTTCAACGAGACTATACCTAGTTCTGCAATAAATACTGTTACAAAAGTTGAACTTTGTTTACATCCTTGGGTATTATTTAGATAATCCCAATTAGTTTGTATTTTTCTTTAACTCAGTTAACATGGAGTGGGGTGATAACAAAAACCGAATAGCTGTGATTGCCTTACACAAAGTTGGAAAATGTAGGTCAGAGATTTTCAATACTTTGAAATCTTTGGGTGTCAGCCATATGTTTGTGTACCACACTATAAATAGATATAATGAGACCCTATCTGTATGTGACAGAACTCGACTGGGCACTATGCTGTTCCTGCAACATGAGAATGGCAAATGCAGTGAAAGCATTGGCTGCTCAAATCAGAAGAAATCCCATTCGAAGAGAACAAATCAGTCAGATTAACGTCTCGCATAATAAAAAGTGACCTTAGGATGGGTGCATTTCGAAAAATGACATGATAAAGGCTACTTACTAACTACTTCCATTACGGCAATGGTCTTCATCGAAAGATTTTGTTTAGGGATGAAGAAATTATTACAATTGAAGACAAATCTAATCGCCAAAATCGTGTGTATGCACACAGCTTTAAAGAAGCCTAGGAAGTCATTGGAAGAGTGGAAACAGGTCATCACCCTTCCTCTGTGATGGTTTGCTTTGATGGCACCACAAAGCTCCATTTTTTGTGAAAAGGAGTTAAAACAGCCACTAAAAACTATCAGGACAATATTTTGGAACCTGTTGTCAAGCTTCTAAATGATAATGTTTGCTGGACGTCATTGGGTTTACCAACAGGATTCCGCTCCAGCTCACACTGGCAGGTCCACTCAGCAATGGCTGCAAAAGAACATTCCAGAGTTCATCTCAGCCTCGGGTTGGCCCACAGGAAGCCCTGATCGCAACCCTCTAGATTATTGGCTTTGGTCCAAACTGGAGAGGATGACATGCCACAGAGCACACCCTAACTTGGAAAGCCTCAAAAAATCTCTCTTCGGAGCAGTTGAGTGCTTTCCTCAAGAAATGCTGCTGGCTGCTATTGATGACTGGCCACGGAGATTAAATGCCTGTGTCAAGGCAAAAGGGACATTTTGAGTAATTTCTTTTTTGTTTTACCCTTTATAGATATACATTTTATTTTCTAATAAAGTTTTTAAAAAAATTAATTTTTCTGTTGAAATCTGTATATATTTCCGTGCAACAACATTTATGACAGGACTATTTATAAATCAGTCATTACTTTGATGGTATTTGGTGTATAAAAGCCAATTTGGTGATCAGAAGTTATTTAGTAATTATTTATTACTCATTACTCACACATATAAGACTTATAAGTCAGTGGCAGACCCAGGTTATTTTAGTACTCTTGATATAGTGAAAATGGTCATCCACTTTACTCAAGGCAGTAGAGAAGGATCACAAAGGTTGCACCAAGGAGGACGACAGAAAGAGGAATGTACCAAGGAGGACTCGCCTTATAGAGGGGACTATGCTTAATAATATAAGAACACAAGAAACAAAGTAAACTATACACAGCAAATGATAAAAATGTAAATTGTTTAAAATCCTGCAGAAGGCCATATAACATGTTGCCACATTTCTATTGCAAACACCTGTTTTGACAAGGTAGCAAAGCGAAGGCAGTTTTGTAAATAAATAAATGTTTTGTATACGTTTTAAAATCCACACTAATCAATTCAAATAATTTTTTTTTTTTACATCCATTGCAAAATAAGATTTTCCTTTTTACTCTCCAAAATAAGATTAAATGCTTCACGTGGTGCAGAAGCAGGCTACCTACAGTCCTAAATGGTGCTTAACTTTATTTATTACAAGCATCTTAGCTATCCTGCTTGACCACATAATATTTACTTATTAAAACATTTATATATTGTATAATGATATCTCCAATATAACCTAATAAAAAATATATTTCACAATTAATAGCTCAATACAATTCATTTTTCAATTAAGGTAATAGTAATAAAAGGGCCTCTTGTACAGTAAATGATTTCAAGATACATTTTTTTCCCAACATATAGGACGGGGTGAGGAGAACAGGGGAGGGGTACACCTCCCTTCTGGATCTGCTAGTACCATAAGCTTGGTTGAAATTTTCAAGATAGCAAAGGATCATACTCTGCTTTTATGGATCATAGATAGATATGCTATACTAAAAGTTCGAACGAATTGTTTTATTTTGTTAAAAAATATAAAAAACTTAAATAGAATCTGAAATTAGAGTTTCATTATTACCTGCATACGTTTCTGCACTTTTCGCAACTCTGCTCTGGCAACTGTTACGTTGCAACATAGTCGGAGAACTCGAGCAATTTCGATTGCAGTTGAACTTGATGTTCCCTCGAGAATCAACCCCAATGTAGTTTTTATACTAGCTGGGGAAATAACCCAGTTATTTCTTTCTGTATGGCTTAGTTCCTGAATTAATTGTACAAAAAAAAAACAACATGTTTTTACATTAAATAAAAATGACTGACTTTACATAAATATATATTACTTGTTTATAAAAAAAACTCAACCTTTAGGTAATCATAAACTTGTCGATTATTATTATGTAATATTTGAAATTGTCAATTTCTGAGTTAAAACTAGCAATTTAAAAATTAAGTTATACAACAATTTATTTATTTATAGATGCATATGTAATATGTAGATGTTATAAATGTGTATAACATCATACTTCATATATATGAAGAATATGCATAAATATAGAATTTTAGTACAACTTGTAATAATTACTAAATTATTATTAAAAATTTCATTCTATAATGGGGTGTTAAGTAAAATCAATGTAAAATGTGTACTTTACATATAAATCTTACAGTATATTTATTAAGTATATTTATTTTTAATAATCACTAGTAGACCCGTGCGAAAAATTTGCACAGCATATTGTTATCAAATGCCAAATTAATAAGAAAATGCAACTTATCAAAAGATTAAGACATCAAATGTTACTTTATCGATAAATATAATCCACAAAGCAAACAAAAATTAATTTAAATCTTCATTTGTTTGGAACCAACATGTATGTATACAAATTTAAATAATCTGTATATTTGCTAAAAATTGTCCGATTGCGATGATTTTTTTTCCTTTTGTAATCATGTGAATAACTAAGGGAAAAGTGTGTAATTTTTCAGTTATTCGCAAATAAAGTTTATTTTCTTTCATAACTTGTTTGCCTGAATTTTCAGGGTGATTGGACGATTTTGCCAGCCTGAAGGAGAAGGAAGCCTTCGAAATTGGTGGCTCAATCTTGAGATTTGGTGAAAAATTAACGATGATATGGCTTGCCGATCAAAAACACCATCGATGAATAATATAAACTCCCCCTCTCTCGATCATAGAGACATCAAGTCGACGAAATGAGACATGTATTCAATGACAGTACTACAATTAATGTAAGGTTGTGTGGATGCGAACCCTATGCCTTGCGTTATCTCGAAAATAGTACGTTTTTCGGCTTAAAAACGCAGGATCCGATAGTTCCGAAGGAACTATCCGGGTCTTGCTGTACGCATCAAAATCTTTAAGATCCAATTTGTCCTGTATCGATCTACAGACCTACCACTGTTCCAGTATCGAAGTCTAGCAAAATGTTTGTATCGACTTTATTTATTTTAGAAAGAAAAACAAAAGTGGAGAATACGATTCGCTAACCCCCCGTGAAATTCTGAATCCAACGGTACCCCATTCGTGGTATTTGAGCATGACAGGAGCTTATATTTGGTACAAAACCGATTTCGAGCATTATTGTAATAATATATGTACGGATCGCCGCCTTCGCAAATAATATTGCTATTTACAGCAGTATCATCAATCCCAACATAGCACTACATCAGGCTGAAACTTCATGTGAAATGGTTAAGAAGTTATAACAATTAAATATACAAATCAATCTGACAAAAACGGATTGTCTACTGTTCACCTTGCAGAGAGGAAGAAGAGCCAGACTATCACAGTCTTTTAGAGTGGCTGACACCACATTAAAACTATTAAAGTCAATAGTATATTTGGAGACCAGACTGGACCGCCATATGATCCTCTCAGCTCACTGCTACAAAAAAATACCCATACTCTTGCTCCATCTAAAAAAAATCCTTTATGGTTCTCTGCTCTTCACACATCATCACCTACAAAGGTTTAAGGACACTATATTAAGAAAAATTGTACGCTCCACATCATTTAATAAGATGAAGCTGGAAGAGCTATACCAGTTCTTTGAGCTACCAATAGTCCCGGAATTCATAAAACGCCACCACATAAAAATATTATATGCGATAAAATATATAACAAAATCCCTTTTCACTACCAGTATGTTGGCATCAAGCAGTACTGGAAGGCAATTAATCCAAAATGCAAGCTAAATCGTCACTTCAAGCCACTTTATTTAGTCAACAATATGATGAAACCAAAATTTAGCTTTAGTTTTAGCAATTTTTATATCTTAGAAAAACAGAAATGAAGTACGTCACAGTTCTTTAAAAAGAAATAAAGAAAATTAAAATATCACTGTTTACTCAAAACAAATCAAAAACTCTTTAAAATGCAGTAGCACTACAGAAAAAGGAGGAAATGGAATCAGCTAATATTATAATACCCCATAGAATAAATCCAATGTTTAATGATGGTAATGTGATCTATGAATAAAATATAATATAATAATTGTGTGTGCAATATCAACAAGATTTAAACAAATTTTTGTCCATGGAAACAATTCATCATTGCAAATAAGAAAAGTTTTTAAAATAATTAATACATAACTTATCTTAAAGCAAGTATACCTACTTGAAGTAGTTGGAAGTCAAAGTTGTAAAATGGGGGAGAATGTACCACATTTCCACCTCCTCTTTGACCCAAAGATCCAGAAAGGAGTACTACATAAAAAAATAAAAATGTTAAAATATTAAAATAACATTAAGATTAAATGAATTTAAATCCAATAATTATCTATCCCAAGGGTTTTATACTCTTTAATTTCAATGAAAAAAGTTTGTTTCATGATTTAATAAAACATGCTAATAATGAATAAAAGAGGATTTATGTTAAATATAATTTTAAATTATAATAATTTATTCTGTGCAATTCAAATGACTGGGAACCCCCACCAACTTCTTTTATATGAATAGAAGAGGTATGAGTGATCTAATCTGATATAAATAAAACCTTAATTTAGCAACCAAATATATTTAGGTATCTTTATGTGCAGATTTAAATTCAATGCAAGTGTTAGTATCTTTTACACTCCTAATGCAACAAAAATTGTATAACCTTATTCTAAACTAATGAAGGAAGCAGTGAAAATACATAACTTGGTTTGTTGCTATTTCTTAAAAATAAAAATCATTTCTTAATTTCGCACATATATTGATCAATCTTTTACATCATCTACTGTATATAGGATTGCTTCATAATTGCTTATGCTATTGTGTTGTACTCTCAAAGTTCAATAATTTTTTCTTCTGTTTTGAATATCTATGGGACAAGGAGTATTATGCTTTTCGTATTTGTGGGGTAACCATTCAAACCCCATATAGCCAAAAAGTTAAGTAAGAGAGAAGGAAAGAAAAGATACAACGGATAAAGAGTGAATAAAAAGTCTTTCATCAGAAATACATATAACCACATTGCAAAAATTAGTGTAAAAATATATTTTAATATATATGTATTTATATAATAAATTAGATGTATTTCTTATAATACAAAATTATTTGAAAAATGGACACTTTGGAAAAATATAAAGTTTTAATTATGAATTGAAATAAATTCAATTTAAATCACATTCTAAAATTGTGCATATTACTCTAGTCCTATAAGTATTATTTTTCCATTTTTCAATTAGTTTTGATGAAAGAAATTAACACTTATGCTCATAACTATGTATTTGGTTTCTAACTACTTTCAGGTTTTCTTAATAAAGATCATAAAATGCATCTCAATTATAATTCCCTATGATAGGAAGAAATTGCAAGCAATGGTTAACTATTTGAAAATATGTATTGTTTCAAAACATATATTTATATATCAACAAGCGATAATAAAGGTAATTTTGGAAGGTGACATTGAAAACTTTATCAATAGATTATAATCAGAGCATTAATAATAACAAGCAATTCAGAAGTTTTACATGTTTGCTGTATAATTATTTTCTAGCAATATATTTCTTTTTATATTCTTTTATTAATTAATTTTAACAATAATTATGCTTTTAGTAATTATATTTCTAAAGTAGAAATACATAAAATAAAAAAAAAATCTAACTGTAAACTTGATTTCTTAAACATTATTTATAAAACGCCATCAAAATATTTATCAAAAGATACAACAAAACTTTAATTTAAATGAATTTATTAGAGTGATTATTATTGATATTTGATTTATAAATTAATGAGTTAGGCATTGTCAACAGAGATGATTACAATAATAATTTAGATTAAACAAAAAATTAGATTTAATATAGATGGATCATGCTTTGAAGAGAGGTGATTAAATTGTTCATCAAGACTAACTACAAAGAGTTACTATATTTCCAGGATTTGTATTATGATTAGTAAAATGAAATGAAACTTCCAGTATTTAATATTCAAAAGTTATGAGTTATAATATATTATTTTTATAAAAGGACAATAAACATTTGTCATGGAAACAGTTTTGTTTACCTGTGAATATCAAAGTGAAGAGCATGGCCTTGTTGGCTGACTGGAAGCAGCAATGGGAATCATATCACATGGGTTTACTATCCTTGTTCCCCTTCCACAACAAACCAGAATCTGCACGCAGTCCCTGAGAGACTTGTTAATTTCATCTCTAATACTAGATTAGATCTCAGCCATTGACATAGGTCTTTGGCTTCCCAGGAAGTTATATTAAAAATATCGACGTTTTAAGGAAAAGGCGTGCTTCAATAACATTTCGTTAAATAAAGATGCTATTAATTATTTTATTTAAAAATACCTGGCCGTCCTCGAGCCAGTTCCAAAACACCAGAGCGCCACATTTTAGCACGCGAGCCTCGGACTTAGCACTCCTGTTCGAGAGAGATAGGATAAAGTTAATTATTTTTTCTGAATGGGAGGGGAAGGAAAAATCATGTTTTTGTGCACATTCGTCTATAAATATGCCACCGCGTTAAGGATATTGTAAAACATTCGATTGTAAGGAAAAGTAAGTTTTCACAGGGACGAATTGGTCACGAATGTTCATATTACAAAAAAAATTATAATACTAACAACAGGTTGCAATAATTGGCAAGCTCATGCATCCATTTTGTTTTATTAACTATGCTCTACATATATGTGTATATAGATGGATATATATATAGATGGATTTTTTATTTGTACAGTGAAAGAAGCTAAATGCTCTACAAACGTATGGGACGAAGTAAGGTTTTGGTCCAGATGGCATAGATTTGTATTTTTTTTTTTTTTTTTTGTATAAGCACTATAACATGGCATTGTTAAATTCAAAGGCGTCGCACAATGTCCCTGATTGCAAATCTAGGGGTAAAGAAGCCATGTTATTGACAATAAAATATTTCCTTTTCGTCGAGACTAATCTTTTATTGTTAAAAAGTCTGACTTGTGGACCATTTTTATCTAAAAACAATCTAAAACCATTTTTATCTGATCAGGTTGCCGGGCAACGGTGGTGCTAAGCACAACGCGTTAGCCCATTCGGCCACCCCGCCCACTGAAATCATTGATCTATTTTTCTTCGTCTGGTTTATAATTCACATATTCTTATTCACATATTCATTTCAAGCAAATTGGGGGAGCCAGTGCCCGAAAATCGGCCTCATTGCAGGAGAAGGCTTGATTGTAAATTACGGTAGAGTATGTTATTCCATAGGTGGATATAAGGGAAGGGAGGGGGGCCTTCGAGCTGAAGCCCTCTCCCCCAAAATGGTGAAATATCACCATGTTTTACAGGAAAACATATTAAAAACTATCTCTTAAAGTATTCCTGTTCGTGTATTTATATTTAATAGGAGTTCAAGAACCTCTTAAACACCATTTCATATAGGTAGTTAATTTCTTTATTTTTTTTTCAAATTGAATATCGTTATAGTATAGGAAAAAAAAAATTCGGGCTGAAGTCCCCCCCAAAATTAAATCTTGGATCCGTTAGTGTGTTATTCTGAGTAAAAAGAAACTTGTCTGCCATTAAGGAGCCGCTGCTTTAAAAAATCGCGGCTGATTTAAAGAATATTAAGCGAATAATTTGATGATCGAAACGGGAAGTCCATTGCCAAAAATGTGACAAAAATTTTTATTTTTTTTTTCACATGTCTAAGCCCATATATTCAAGTTAAAAAAACAAAAACTTTTCTCACATTTTCCGCTATGGATTTGGATTTCGATCCTCAAATTACTGCCCTAATATTCTTTAAACCAGCCGCCATTTTTGAAAGCAGCGACTCTGGAACGGCGAGGATCTTTTTACTCAGAATAACATAAACTTTCGTAATTTACAATTAAACCTTCGCCTGCGATGAGGTCGATTTTTGGTCTCTGACTCCAGGGCTACTACGCACATCGGGTAGCATGTGGAAACGAATGATTTTTTTTTTTCATATCATAATACAATTTTTCTTTGTTTCTAATAAATATCATAACTAATAATGAAATTATTAATTTTTCATAATATGGGGGTATGAAGCGTTGAAGGGTATGAACAGTTTGAAATTTTATGCCCGGAATGCATAAAAAAAACGCTGCAAATTATTTCACAATGGTTTATTATTTTAAAACAATTATACATATGAAGTCATATTACCTTCCTAGTTACAAAGAAAAATAAATAAAAGGTGATTACAATTATTGGACTAAACGTTTTTTTTTTAATCATTAATAATATGCTAAAAAAAAATAGCATTACTTCAGTAACACATTCAAAATTTAAAAACCAAACAAAGGATATAACTTTTGGAGTAGAACATATAAAAAAAAAAAACTAGATACCATATCTTAGCTCCTAATTGTTCGATTTTAACGATTTTTTTTTTTTTTTTTTAGAAAATTTCGTAAACTTTTAAAAAACCAATACAATACAATATCTACAAAAAAGTGTAAACTTTTTGAGTTATTCGGAATTTAATTTAATAGCTAAAGTCATTTTCTCGATACCGTTTAAATTTATCTATATAACATACTTCGACGAAAAGAAGCTGGAAAAAAAGTTACGAGGGATGGTAAAATTAAATTCCGAATAACTCAAAAAGTTTACACTTTTTTGTAGATATTTTATTGTATAGGTTTTTTAAAAGTTTACGAAATTTTCTAAAAACAAAAAAAAAAATCGTTAAAATCGAACAATTAAGAGCTAAGATATGGTCTCTAGTTTTTTTTTTATATGTTCTACTCCAAATGTTATATCCTTTGTTTGGTTTTTAAATTTTGAATGTGTTACTGAAGTAATGCTTTTTTTTATAGCATATTATTAATGATTACAAAAAAAACGTTTAGCCCAATAATTGTAATCACCTTTAATTTATTTTTCTTTGTAACTAGGAAGGTAATATTACTTTAGATGTATAATTGTTTGAAAATAACAAACCATTGTGAAATAACTTGCAGCGGTTTTTTTTATGCATTCCGAGCATTTTGTTATGCATAAAATTTCAAACTGTTCATACCCTTCGACACTTCATACCCCAATATTATGAAAAATTAATAATTTCATTATTAATTATGATATTTATTACTATTACTATACTTTTTAGTTAAAAAAATGGGATTTTATCGATACAATGTCATGCTGTTGCTTAATGTGTTTAGCTTCTTTATTTATTAATTAGGCTGGTAAAACATTATGCTGTAAGGGATTAAATATTCGAATTTCCATTGTTTCATTGTTAAATGTAATGACGGAACTGAAT